AGGAAGTACCCACACATCACTCCCATGGAGTGGAAAAGAAAATTCCATTGCATTGCTACTGCTTTCCCCCCCCCAAAAAAAAAAATTATCTCCCAAATTTCCATCTGATTTTTTTTCAAAATCTTCAATTCATTTAGATCTTCCAAATGGGAAACAAGTCTAGATTCTCAAGACTAAACTTCAGCCACCCTTTTGCAAGTCCCACATTGCTTTGATATGGGAATACCTGTCGTTTTACCATCTTGTTGTCCTATATTGACCATCAAGTTTCTTGTCAGTTATATTTCTTAACATGATCTTATTCCTCCTGTCAACAAAGCCACATAGGTGCTGATGTCATCGGATTGCAGATGCAGAGATGCAGATTCAAAGGAGGTAGCAAGAAAATGACATGCAGATCGGATATTTAACCTAGCCTACTGACTGTGAAACATTAACTCCCTTCAGAACGCTATCATTCTAGCCTTTCATTGGAAGTAGAGGAGGAGAAAAGGAGAGAGAAGAGGAGAGAGAAGAAGGATAACAGTTATGCTGCAGGGCACATGTTCCTTACAGACCCCTAGAAAAAAAACTTCTTGTGTGTGAAGCCTGACTTTACTGAGATATAATTAGCATGTGATAGACTCCATATATTTAAAATGTACAATTTGATAGGTTTTGACTTATGTATTGCATCATCACCATAATCAAGATAAATGAACCATCACTCTTGACAGTTTCATTTTGCAGTTCTTAGTCCTGCCTTCTCCTTTCTGCTCTGCTCCCATCCCTAGATAACCACTGATCTATCACCCTAGAATAGTTTGCATTATCTGGAATTTTGTAGCAATATGGTTTATACTTTTTTTTTTAAGATTTATTTATTTGTGCACACAGAACTGGGGTACAGGCCAGAGACTCAGGGGCGGCGAAAGGCTTCACCAGAGACAGAGTGGGGAGCAGAACAGGCAGATCAACTAAGTACACTGCTGAGGGGAGCAGCAGGCGGGTCAGGAGAGGTCTGCCACGCCATGTGGTCACCTCTGGGGCAGGCGGGAATCGAACTCATGCGGAAGTGGCTTTAGCTTCTTAGTGCTATGCTTTAACCCGCTGCGCCACCAGGGAGGGCCAGGTTTATACATTTTTTATGTGTTTTTTCCCAGTGCAGCATATGAGAATTTCAATTCCTCCACACCCTTGCTACGCTTGGACTGGTCCCTCCATAATTCTATTATTCTAAAAGGGTATATCAATGGCACATTGTAGTTTTAATTTGCATTTTCTCTAATGACTAATGAATCTTTCCATGTGCTTATCTGTCATCTATACCTCTTCCATAAAGTGACCCCCTTTCTATTCTGTTATTTTCTTTTCTTATTATTGACACAACATGACTCTTGATCACCCAATTTTTTTTCCTATGCATGCACCCAGTCATACCAGTAGACTAGGACTTTGAAAATTTTAAGTCTATATGCAAATATACAAGTATATTTGTAGACACACACACAATATATTCAGCTCAGGAAAATGTTTTGTGAGATGTGACATTAGAAACTAAAAGCCTCAAAACCAATATCAGCATTACAGGGCTATGTGCATGGCTGTATCTAACCATAGAGTTTCCCTTTAAACAAAGAAAATTCTAAAGTCAAATGTTGTGGCTGGGGGCCTAACGGAAATCCTGTTGTTGCTGATAGGGCCCTAAGCCTGATGTTCCCTTGGCAACAAGACAGCTCCCACAAGATGGTAAGAAAACAAATGTGCCTCCAACAAAGAAGAACACCTAAGTACCTGGATTCAGAAGCCAGGCAGGTATGCATTTAAATTTCTTTCACCTACTGACCCAAATTCTTGAGTAATTTGATTAACCTCATTTTCTTTATTTCCAAAATGAAAATGAAGCTGTTACACAAGATTATTGTACAAATTAAATGAACAATTTACAGCACATGCTGCTCAGTCCTGCCACGAAAGGTCAGCACCAGTTAAACTCCATCTCTTCTTGTGGAAGAGGAATTTTAGGTGGGAGATTTCAGCACGAACTCTAGGGCCAGCAAAAATGGGCTGGACCCCCAAACTATGGCACTTACTTGCTGTGTGACCTTGAGCAAGTCACTTTACTTCTCTGTGCTAGTTTCCTCAACCAAAATTGGGAATCACATGGTATAAGTTTCTGTAAAGTACTTAGAACTCACTAACAGACAGAAGGATTTCCTGCCATGGTTGCACTGATCTTCCCCCAGGCCCAGTCAAGCACATGTTACAGTGTCCTAAATGTGACTAGTACTCGCTTCACTCACACCGTTCCACCAACAGCTATTTACTGTGTCCACGTCCTGAAACAGGTAACAGAGGGACTTCAAGCACTGGTGAAACACAATTTTCTGAGCCAAACATTTACAAACCACCTGCAACAGGAAGCATGATCAAAAACTTCAACCACCATGGCATGTGACTACTGTTAAACATCTGATGCAAATAGATGATGGAGAAGTTCAGAGGCAGAAGGTCTACAACGGGAGTGAGGGAAGCACAGAGACAGAAGGGAGCTGGCTTTAAGCTGGATTTTAAGGAGGAATAAGAAAGAGGAAGTCAAAAAAACCGGGAACCAAGAGTTCAGCCTTGGGGATGAATAGGCAGAAAAGATGACAGGATGGACTTGTGAGAGGGCAGTGTGACAGATGTGGAAGGCAGACAAAGAAGGAAACCATTAGGAAAGATAGGTGGGAGCTAATTTGTGAAGGGCCTTAATGCTAGGCTATTACACTGATATCTAAACTGTAGACAGGAATTCAAGCAGCTATCAAATTTTTAACTTTACTGTTAAGAATTACTCATTTATTGGCCCTCCCTGGTGGCGCAATGGGTTAGCACTACAAGCTAGCTGCAGCTGCTTCACTGAGAATTCGATCTCTGGCTCCAGAGGTGATCCACATTACCCCAGGCAGACCTCTCCTGTCTCATGGCTGCTCCCCTCAGCAGTGCACTTCGTTGATCAGCCTGTTCTGCTCCCCACTCTGTTTCTGGTGAATCCTCTCACTGTCCCTGCACCTCTGGCCTGTACTCCAGGCTGTGTGCACAAATAAATACATCTTTTGGAAAAAATAAAAAAAGAATTACTCATTTATGAAGTCAGAATCCCTGAAGTTGAAGCTCAGCCCTATTTTTCAGCCCAAATTTCACAGGTAACTCTGACATGGACCACGAGCTGAAAAACCACTGCTACAGAGCCTTTGAACCTGGATTACTGTGATGGTTTTGTTACAGGGCAACCCAAAGTGAACTGGGCCGCCTGTCAGTGGGGCCTCACCTGGACACTTAAAATTCAGTTGTTCTGCAGGCACACACAAAAGGGTCAAATGGGTTTATTTACAAAAAGACGAAAGGAATAGGAAACAACCCAGGGAAAGAGAGCAGGATACAAAGTAACTGGAATACCTTACCAGCTCCGCTGACTGAAAACACGGAGTCACACAGTCCAGAGAGAGCCTTTTCCCAAGCGAGAGATCGAGAGACCCAATGGCGCCCTATTTATCCCCCAGTGTCCCAGAATTCCTGTTTAGCTCCGCCCTTGGGTACTTGCAGTTCTCTCCCTGGTACTGCTGGGAGTTGTAGTTTCCAATCACTGGAGTAGGGGGTAGAGTCCAGAAAGCTGGAGTAGGGGGTGGAGTCCACAAGACTCTGCAGAATTCCTTTAGGACATCTTTCCCCTTAACAGTTTCTTTGGCAGTGGAGTCAGAAGAAAGAAAACTGGCATTTATTGAGTTCCCACCTAAGCAGAGTGACTGGCAGGTAATATTTCCTTTCATTCTAGCCAAAACCCTATGAGGGAGACATTATTATCACATTATTATCCTCATTGAAGGGATAAAGAAGCTGATACTTAGAGATGCTGAAAATACAGGTAAGCTACCGACCAGAGATTCAGACCTAGGTCCCAGGCTTCAGGATCACTGTATTTCGCATTGGAGCACATGACTTCCCACAAATACCTGTGAGCATTTTCTCTAGGAAACTTAACACAGGTCAAAATCAAATAGCAACCATGGTGTTGTAAACTCTCTCCTCCCATCCTCATTTTTCTCCTCCAGTGACATCTAGATTTGACTTTCCCTTTGTCCTTTGATTTCTAAGCCAAAGAGGTTCAGATGTACTATCTACATGTATACTTTAAATTTCCATTTGCAAGTGAAATCATTTGTATATATTAGGAAGTCATAATAACATTTTCATGTTATTTCTCTGCAGGCTATCATGTACAAATAACACAAATTTTATAATGCAAATTCCAAGGAGTGACAGTCACCTAGACTATGCTGTGAATAGTGCCTGCTGGAATTGAGCAGTGAACATACTGCTCAACTATACATAGAGACCTTTTAGTAGGAAACCTCTGTTTGCCTTACAGGTGTCATCATGGTCTAATAAAATCAAAAATTAATGAACAGGCTGTTCATCTTTCTTCCTATTCCCTAAAACTGAATCATTATTTTCCCAATATTTTTATTATTCCTTAAGATACACCAACTTTGTTGTTTGTTTGTTTGTTTGTTTTAAGGCCATAGGGGCCCTCCCTGGTGATGCAATGTGTTAAAGCACAGCACTATGAAGTGATCTGTGATCCAAAGCCATTGCAGCATGAGTTCAATTCCTGGCCAGGGAGGTGACCCACATTGTGTGGCAAACCTCTCCTGGCCCATCTGCTGCTCCTCTCAGCAGTATATTTCAGTCAATCAGCCTGTTCTGTTCCTGCTCTTTCTCTCATGAATCATCTCACCCCAGGCACCTCTAGCCTGTACCCCAGGTCTTGTCTGCATAGATAAATAAATCTTTTTTTTTTTTTAGGCCATAGCATCCTTGGGATGATTTGGAGAAGAAAGATAGCATTACCCTAAATAAAAGTGGGCTGGAGAATAACAGAATCATTAATGGGAGACAAAATGTCAGAGTTATCACACCAAAAAGACAGTAAACACAGTCAAATTTATTTCAGACATAAAGTCAATGCCCTAGTAATAAATACTTTTAACATTGGAAGTTGTTTAATACACAGTGTAAGTTCTAGTAAGATGATACTAAAGATAATCTTTATAAAGAACTTTGTGCCAAAGATAATAAAAGATAGTTTGCTGAAGAATCAGAGATATGGTATCACTATACCATTGATAAAACAATCTGAGAGTAGGAACAACTTGTAAATATTCTGTGCAATGCAGGAGGGAAAGAGAGGAGTTAATAAAATCAGTTCTACTCTCCTTACTGAGGTCTTAAAATTTTAAATCTAGTGTTGGAAAGCACACCATGACTCACATACCTGGTTGGATGAGTGCCTTCTTTCTCACTTTAGGATTAGAATCACTAATTAGTAAAAAAAAAAAAATGTCAAAAACTGGAAACAGGTATCCAATCAGAATTAGGCTAGACCCCTCTGGTTGACAATGGGTCAATGAGGCCCTTCAGAGACTGAACAAGATCTGCTACAACTTATATTTGAATCCCTGGCATGGCCACAATGTCACTAACTGGAGAACTGAAGGCTCCACACAGTTCTTATGGCCATCACCATGAGTGCTCAGGTAAGTCTTTTCAGTGGTGTCTTTGTATCATCCCATACCCAGAAAGCCTAAGGTCCAGCACCTGCACCTTCTGGAGCTGAGCCAACACACACAGCTACCAGGCCTATCATTCATGGAGAGAAAGCATGAAGATAACCACTTTTTTGGTAAACACTCCAATGAAATAAATCTCACAGATTTGGAGATTTTCCCTTACCCCAATTATAACATATGGCAAACAAAGGGACAAAGATAGAGAGTTCTCAGCTCAACCTCCAGTAGAGATGGAATATGCTTGGCTGACTTTGGGGACATGGGAGGGCCTCTTACCTACTCCTAATTTATTCAGATCTTTTTCTCAGAAGATACAGCTTTTCAGGCTGGAGTAAATAATAGAAGGCTTCAAAAGAAAAACCAGCACTGCAGCAATGGCTCTCAAGAAGTTTCTGGATAGACTGAGGAAGAAAGAAATGAGTTCTCATTCATTCTGATACATGCTGTCCTGGCCAAGATGAAGAGAACAGGGGAGATTTATGATTAATACTCTTGGTATGGCTGGCAATGGTTTTAAAAGGAAGAACCTCAGATTCTGAATGCCTAAATTTTTTCAAGGAAGGACACCAGCTGGACAACCAAAGACACTTTCATGTCCATGGATATTAGAATCACAGAGGGGTTTTTGGTTTTTAAGCTAGAGGGAGCTAAACGGGTCTCCTAGTTCAACTCCTTTGTTTTTCAAAGAGGACCCTGAGGCTTGGAGAGGCTAAGCAGTGTCTCAAGGCTACACAACTTGGTGTAACTATTTGATGGAGACAAAGAGTGGCAGAGAGGCTTCAGTGAACAATGTAGTCAGCATGTGTGGTTAGTTAGTTATGTTCAGGTCCCCCACAGGTAGAGATTTCCCATATTTAGGCCCTTTCTTATCAACCCATCACCACAAGAGGACAGGTCCTGACTGAGTTTATCTGTGGGGTTCCCTCAGGTAGGTGGTGAAGCTCTGCAGGTTTATTCTCACTTCCCAGTCCGGGAGACCACCTGGATGGCTTTGATCCACTCAGTACGCTCTTTAGGAGTGGCTGCTTGCAAGAAATAATGAACTTCATCAGCTGTGATGATCTCAAAGAGGTTCTCTTCTTCACTCCTTTTAACTGGTAAAAGAGAAAGTGAATGGTAGTGCATGGCTACAGACCCCAGAAAAGTCACCTAATTCACCCCTCTATAAGGCATGAAATCCCAATGTTTCGAGTGTTCTACAAGAATTAAAGATGTGGTTTTCACACTCACCATTACAGTGTGATTACATATATGGGTATGTATGTATGTATATAATACACATGTATATTCAGTGATAACCAAATATATAGTATGTATATAATCTCTACATCAAATGATCATGTATGTATATGTACTTAAGAAATACTCATTTTTAATAGGTTATGATCAAATGAAATGTCTCCATTTGGCACACCAATAGTATTTAATGAATAACCGCGAATAGTGTCTAACAAGTGCCTTTTTTTTTTCTCTAGTCATAATATAAACCAAGAACTGACCCTTAGAAAAGGCCAACCACCAAAACCCAGCACCAGTACTACCAATAGAGTCTGAACTGGTTTAAATAATTGCTAAGTTGGAGTTTGTGCTAAAAGTCTGAAAGACTTAAAACATGCATCTCAAAGCGAAGACAAAATTCCCCTACCCCAAGCTAAACAGGAAGGGATTCAGCGGACCCAAAGCTGTAAATATTTGGTTTTTTGAAGCTGTAGTTTTTTATGTGCATTTCATATAATTATAATATATATAGATATATAATGGCCAACGGGCATATGAAAAAATATTCAACATCACTTGTAATCAGTGAAATGCAAAAAACCACAATGAGGTGCCACCTACACCAGTGACAATGGCACATATTTTAAAAAATAGAAACAACAGGCCCTCCCTGGTGGCGCAGCGGGTTAAAGCACAGCACTGAGAATCTGAAGCCACCTCCGCATGAGTTCGATTCCCGCCTGCCGCCTGCCC